GGCTGCCTGGGTCTAAGCTGTCTTAGCAGAGCTCTCGTGTAGACTGGATTCTCGGCAGCTGGTGTGGTTGGGGCGATTGAAGATGACAGCTGGTAAATGCCAGCCTGCTCCGTCAGCTGTGCTCAGGGATTGTGCCCATCCCACCATCAGGGGTCCAGCTGTTGCTAGCTGCTCTCTCTTCTTACCAGGGCCTAGAGACAGCTGTCTACTGGGGTGGCAATCCGAGGCCACCTGGTCCTCTCCAGGCCTTTGGCTTAGAGGCGAGCAGGTCCAGCTGACGGGTGCTCCAAGCCCCCCCCCACACACACTAAGGCTCCAGTTACCCCACACTTCACGCCCACAGGGACACCTGTTCCCTCTGCCCCCAGGCTTCCATGTGTACCTGGGCCCTGTGCAGTCATTGGGGATCAGGCAGCCCCCTGAGTGTGGGCATGTGTCTGAAGTGACTTGGGGCCACAGTTCAGCTCAGCTGTCTTCTGGCCCAGTTTCCTCCAGAAATATCGAGTGTTTCTGAACACTCCAGCCTGTGTCTTCACCTTCCCTGGGACCAGCCGCACTAACCTTAGCACCTGGTTCTTTTTTTCATTTTTAAAAACTATTTATTTATGCATAAGAGAACTGGGGTACAGTTCTGGGGTGGGGGGTGGGTTGGGGTGAGAGGATTCACCAGAGACAGAGTGGGGAGCAGAACAGGCAGATCTACTGAAGTACACTGCTGAGGGGAGCAGCGAGAGGTTTGTCGCACCGTATGGGTCAGCTCCATGGTCGGGGATTCGAACTCATGCTACAGTGACTGTGGAGAGCTTTATAGCGCTGTGCTTTAACCCGTTGTGCCACTAGGGAGGGCCCACCTGGTCTTCTACCTCTATTCTTGTTAAGATCCCAGGCGCCATCTGCTCAGCTTTATCTATAGAGTCCAGCCCATTCATACCTGGTACCTTTCACAGGCAGCCCTCATCCTTCCTCCATGCCAGCCCTGGGAGGTGGGGACCATTACTCTTTTTCCCAGCTGGGGCTAGGAGCGCTGCACCATGTCAGCTTCCAGCCTGGTCCCAATGCTTTGGACTTAAGTGGCTACCTGGTGCCCCCAGGCACATTAGTCCCACAGACCAGGTTAGAACACTTACATCCCCAAGAACCAACTTTCCCCCAGCCTCTGTGCTCCACACCTGGTTTTTTCAGCTCTCTATGCCCCTTAAAGCTGCACACTGACCAGTGGGGCTGCCCAGTGCTGACTGTACCCTCCTCTACCCTCATCTAGTTCCCCCTGGCCCAAGGTCCTGCTTGAGTCACATGCTTCTTCCCCTGGGCACCTGGCTGCTGGCACCATGGACAGCTGTGCCATTCAGCAGTGTGGCCATGTCTCCCCAGGTTTCCCCAAGGACCAGCTATGTGCCCTCCAGCATGTGCACGCATTGTGTGAACACCTCTCAGTCCCTCAGCCCTGACCATCTCCAGGCCTCATGACCAAGTGCCCAGATCTTTAATGCCATGGCTGTTATGTGCTAACCCTCTGGCTACTTCCTCTTCCTCCCTCCTTCCTTCCCTCCTCCTCCCAGTGCCAGGATCTTTAGCAGGGCCATGTGGTGCACCCGCCGTGCCAGAGAGTGACCTTTCCCGCCTCCTCCATCACATTGCCAGCCCATGAGCCAAGTTGCATACGTCATAAATGTCACGCCTGCAGCTGTCCCAGGGAAGAGCTGGAGGCGTGAGGTCATGGGTTTGCCCTTTTGCCAGGGCAGAATCGGGAGTGCTCTGTGTGGGCAGCATCTTCTTAAGTGCCACACAAAGGCCCTTGGTGAGGAAAACGGAGCCCTGTGGGGGGTGGAGATCCCCAGTCAGCATCCCTGGGGTGGAGGTGGCTGGCGGGGTGGGGGCAACTAGGAAAGCCAGCTGCTGCTGGGGCTCTGGAAAGGGCAGCTGGCCCGGCTGCGGGCAATGGGGTGACTCCACACAGCACCATGTTTATTCAGGCGCTGGCGGGCTCTGCTGTCCCAAGAGGGGAATAAACTCTCCTGCCCCTGGTTCTTGGGGCCATACGTCTTCAAGCCTTCCTGAGCAATCCCAGAAAAATGAATTCTCGTTAAAACCAGAAAAGGAATTGGAGATTTGGAAATCACTGAGAAGGGGTGTCTTCCATGGTCCTGGAGACCTCCAGACCTGGGGGATACAAGTCAAATCTACAAGGTCCCTTGGCCTCCCTTCCAGGGCACAGACCAACGCAGCTTGCCAGGACTAGATGGGGGGAGGGGTTGTGTGGGGAGGGAGGAAGAGAAGGTTCTTATTTAAGCAGTGAGGCTACTAGTCCTGGCTGCAGGGTTCATCAGAGTGGCTGCTGGGGCGACTGGCTGAGCCTCTGGTGGGGACTTCTGTCCCCAGCTCCCCAGGATCAGAGCCTGCACCCCTCACTTGACTCTTCACCTGCTGACTGCTTTGGAGGACCTGCTGGTGCGTGTCCCACAGGATGCAGAGTTCAGGGGATGCACAGGGTGGCTCTAAGCAGGTGCTCATGAGTGTACAGTGGTGCTTGAATCCCATTAAGCACCAAGAACTGTTCTGTTGGCCCAAATGGATGCTGGAAAAACAGACTCTCTCATAGATCTCTGCCTCCTTTCCATGCCCAACCTTCCTACATTTAAGGCAGCACTTCTCAAGTTTTAATGTACATGCCTATCATGAGGAGAGTTAAGGAAGATTCCAGTTCAGTAGGCTTGGGTAGAGCTGACGTGTTTTCTAGCAAGCTGGCCGGCGTAAGCAGCCCACACTTTGAGCAGTAAGGACTTCTGGGAGTCCAAATTTCCATATTTCCCTGCACTTGAGGTCCTCTCTTCTGCCTAGACTAAGCTGTTGCCTTGCATGGCCCCTTTGATGTGACCAGGGAGCACAGAGCCCCTTATTCTGAGAGACCCTCTGGGGGAACTGAAGACAGAGGGCTGGGAGATGCTTGCTTCAGTTTGCTTTCTTTTTGTAATTTTGGTCAAGTCACATCTTTACTCTGAACCTTAGTTTCCTCATCGATGATACAGAGGATTAGGCTTGAGTCTAGGGACCCTTCCTTCTTCCACGTTCTTCAAAAGGCAGCAGCGTCAGACCTTATCCTGTGCACTTCCCAGTATATATAGTTTTTTTTTTAAAGGTTTCTTTATTTATGCACACAGAACCGGGGTACAGGGGCAGTGAGAGGATTCACCATAGTCAGAGTGAGGAGCAGAATCAGGCAGATTGAAGAAGTACACTGCTGAGGGGAGCAGCGGGCGGGTCAGGAGAGGTCTGCCGCGCCATGGCGTTCACCTCTGGGGCCGGGGATCGAACTCTCATGAACACAGCTGCTGCCAGCTTCGCAATGCTGCTTTAACACGCTGCGCCACCAGGGAGGGCCACTTCCACATATTTTAACTTGTTTGCCCCTCATCATACCTGAGGGAACGTGCTGGCACTGCCCCCAGCTACACACAGGCACACTGAGTGCAGGTTGCTGAGCCATCTGCCAGAGAGTGCAGCTGCAGCGGTGGCAGCACTGAGGTGGTGGCCAGACAGCCGGACTCCGTGTCCATGCGAGTTCTATCCCTGGCCCCGGAGATGACCCCCATGGCAGAGCAGACCTCTCCTGTTTTGCCTGCTGCTCCCCTCAGCAGTGTACTTCATCAATCTGCCTGTGCCTCTAACCTTTCTTTGCATTTTGACTGCCCCTGATAATGCCTATCAGGAGTGGCCATACCAGCATCCTAGGTGTTCTTGAAACAAGGCTGCTTTCTCATGGTTTTTCATTTCACAGTAAATTCTGTGCAGTTCAGAGAGGCTGGCTTGGCCTAAGCCCTCAAGAACATATCAAGTCTTTCCAGTGTGCAGAACCTGGCATGCAGTGAAACGCCTTGAGCGTGGCCTCGTCATTGGCCCGGGAGCCTGGTTAGTTTTAACAAGCTCCTAGTTTTAACAAGCAAGGCTCTTCCAGGGGGCCCCTAGGGTGGGGGGCTGTGGAGCCACAGTGTCTGCGTGTCATCGTCTACTTGGGCTCTTACGTCTTCCTGGCCCTAAGCCACCCTGGCTTCCCTCTTACCAGGCGGCAGGGCTTTGCCTGGCAACATCTAAGCTCTTCACGCCTGTGTCCGTTACAGGACAGAAGCAAATGCATCCTCTGTTTCATGCTCGTTTTCCTTCACCACCCTCCTCAACAGACCCCAAGGAAAACAGGCATTTAAGAGCTCAGGTGACTGTGGAACCCACAGTGGGGGCCATAGCCAGGCAAGAGGGGACCCACGTCTGAAACTGCTTTAGCGATAACTCAGGGAGGACAGTCCCAAGCTGATTAACAGTTGTCTGTGGCCCCATTGGGCTTCACCTTCTGGGTACTGGTCCTGACGCCCCAGCCCAGCCAATTGGACCAGTAAGAGATACTAACCAGTGGGTGGTGGGATGTGACTTTGGTCCTTTCTGGCATGAGCTTGTTCTGAAGAATAGTGAATTTGCCCAGTGGGGATCATTTAGGGCAAAGGTTTTAAATGGGAAAGTTGGAATCAGTTTGTCAATTTTTCTAGGTGAGGGATGCTGGGATGCTTTTCAAGTGCTGAGAAACAGTGTGATCTTGTTGGAAAAGCTGGGGAAATGTGTTCCTTTGGCCACATCTTCTCAAATTGCTTGGAAAACCCTTCTGTCGTTGAGCTACCAGTTCACCTTTGTGGGATGCTGTATGTGGTTGTTTCTAATGTTCCTCATCGACAGGTCGTCACTGTGTGTCCTGGCGATCTGAGTGTGGCAGTGTCTGTTAGGAATGCATCATGGCGGGGACTGGCCAGCAAGGCACATGCTGGGACCCAGCTGCCCCTCAATGCCCACGGGTCCCCCGCGGGTCTCAGCGCCCCGCAGGGCACGCAGGGGCCAGGCCTTCTGGCCCCTTCCTCAGCCTGTGCGTCTCAAGAGCTGTGCAGTTGGTGGTGGCCGTCTGTCCTTGTTTGTCTTCAGAGACTTGCACAGATCTGCTTTTCACTTTTTTCTCTTCTCAGGAAGTTTCCAGAAACCTCACCAAAGAAAACGAACAGATCAAAGAGGACATGGCAGACATTCGCGCCGAGGTAAACAGGCAGAGCAAAGAGAATTGCTCCAAGAGTGTCCTGGACAGCGAGCCAGACATCCGCTCAGCCCTGCAGAGGGATACAGCGGCAGCCTACGCACACCCTGAGGTAAGGCCTGGCCCCAAGGGCCTCTGAAGGCAGCCTGGCAGTTGGGGTCCCCATACCCCACACGTTTAGAGCCTCTGGGTTACCATCCAAACAGTGTCCACTGCATCAGTGGCTCAACTCTGCGGGTCTGCGAGGGCAGGACTCTGTGTCCTGCTTTCAGCACTGAGGCCTAGACAGTGTCAGTGAGCAGGCGTTGAAGCCCCCACAAAAGTCTGTTCCCCTGAGTCCCAGCCTTTTTGCACTGTGCCCACATGCCTTTTCGGGACCCCACACCTTTGTAAGTAAGGAGCACACATGTGCCGATTGTGGGACTTTCTGGTTCGCTCCCACTGGCCTGAATTGATTAGGAATAGTACTTGACTTTCCAAGGTGCCTGGGTTTGGAAACAACTCTGGGTCCTCCATGCTGAAGGGGACTGAGTAGCACATGCCTTACTTGTGTCGCTGCGTCCTGTGGTCTGCACCACAGCTCTGGACACAGCCTCACCTGTCAGTGAGGAAACAGATCCAGCAAGGTGCTTGGTGACCCTTGCATGGCCAGGACGTGGTGGCCCATGTCTCCAACCTTTGTCAGGCACAAAGTCACCCTTACATGAAACAGAAAACCGTCTCATGACATGAGTGACACCAGAGACCGACTTGCCTAAAAATCAGCCCCCACTTTGGGCTGCAGTTACCAAGTGAAGTCTATGTGTTACCATCTCATGGTTGGGTTTTCTCCCAAGGTGATGCCTATGAAACAGACATTCATTTGGGAGATAACCCAGAAGGGGAAAGGAGAAACAGAAGTTTGGCAGTAGGCCGGGAAGAGTGTGGGAGGCTTAGTGAAGCAGGGCTGGACGATGCATAAGAGGGTCCTGGCAAAGGAGGGAGCAGAAATTACGCGAGGCCCTGCTGACATTAACTGGTTGCCAAGGGTTGGCAGTGGGCAGCAGACATTGGACTTCAGGTGTGCTGTGGAAGGAGCCCTCAGCCCTCGGGTAGCTGGGCAGGGTGTGAGTGGAGACAAAGCCCTGAGCTGAGGCTCAGTGTGCCCGCATGGGCACAAGGCTGGCAAGCGTTGCTGCTTTGGACTCCTGGCTGCTCATTAAGAATTGGGGTAAGAGAGGAAGTGAGACCGGGTATAGAGACTTGGCTCTCAGCCAAAGAGGCCCATCCCAAGGTGCCGAGCAGGCGGTGACTGTGGGCTAGGGGGATTTCTGGCACATGTTATCTGAAAAAGGGACAGGAGACAAGTTAGAATTTGGGGGGCCGTAGCCCCAAAGCCAGTATTTTGCCTGTACCCTGCCCAATATATGACTCAAAATAGAAACAATCCCAAACCATAAAATAAGTATCAGGAAAACCAGTCATTTCTGGCTTTGCTTACAATGGTGATTTTGATGCTTTTTGGAAATAGCATTTTTAAAAATCATTTTTACTCTCATTTTTGGGGTCCTTTCATGCCAGCCACTGAACACGTGTTGTAATCTGCTTGGTGGGTCACCCCGAGCAGATCTGAGCTTGTGAATCCCAGCCAGGGCATTAGGGCTGGGAGGAAACCTGGAGGTGCCTTCACCGGCCCCAAGACACGGCCAGGCCGACACATCTGGGCTGACATCCGCCGCTGCTCAGGGCCGCCTCTTGGCTTCCATCTCCCAGTCGGCTGAGCTGGAGAATTTCTCTGTTGTCTTGATGACACATTATGTGGTATGTTCAGAAACCCAGCTCAGATTTCCTGAGGGCAAACAGCAAACCAAATCAAACACATCAAACTCTTTCTCTCCTTGCTCAGCAGAATCTTTTCCCCTCCTGAAGCCTCCATTCATCACAATGCTGAAGTTAGCACAATCCACCCAAACCAGGGTGAAGGGGGTACAGCCAGGAGAGAGAGTGGGTGCTGGGGGTGAGGGAAAGGAGAGGTGGGGCAGGAGCCCAAGGGTCATGTCCCCCTCTGTCCTTTCATTCCTCTGTCTCTTTTGGGAGCACACTACTGAAAAGGGGACAGTGAGGTGTCTGGGTTTGGCTGTTTTCAGGGCTGTTGTAGATGACGGCGGGGCACCCCGGAATAGTGAATAACAGTTTGCTGGTGGCCTCTCTCCAGACAGGTCCTTTCTGGGAGAGTTGACAAGGGGATCTGGGGGCAAAGGGGGACTTCAACCTGAGTTGAAGTCATACAGCAGACTCTTGGATTAGCAGAGAGAGAGAAATCAAAGCATCTAGCATGTCGCCTGTGGATCCAAGGAAATTATATGTTCTCTGGCGAAGGCTGGCCATGGTCTTGCTCCAGCTCCTTGGCTGAGAGAGAGCAGTGCAGTTCCTGCCCAGTTCTGAGAGACTGGAATTAAAGACAGTTTCTGGGATTTGCCACGAAGAAATGACAGCCTGCGTTTGCAATGTAGAGGGAAACCAGTGTCCCGTAATTTGACGACCCACAGCGTGTGAGTCAAGGACTGGGCCTTTCATTGGCCTCCCAGGCAGCTCTTTCCAGTGGGAAATGAGGGATCCCCACGTCTGCTGGGCAGTAGCCAGACTGAGGTCCTGGGACTTGGGCATTCGAGTTAGCCCTGTGGTCAGGGGCTGTGGGTTCTGTGGCTTCATGTGAGGAAGAACACAAGCTCCGGAGGCAGCATGGGATTTAGTGCCCCTGTTGGGCACCTCAGCGACTGACCTCTGACCAAATTGCTGCATGGTTTGAGCCCCTCTTCCCTCAGCTATAAAATGTAGACAATCCTGTCACCCTTGTTCATTGTTATAGAGCAAAACCTAAAGGGACATGTCTGGCCATTAGGTGTTGTATTCAGTCTTGAATGAGAGACCCTCAAACAAGAGAGGGTTGTGTTGTTCCATGCAGAACTCTGAAAGCAGGTGCCTGGGACTGGTATGCTGAGCTGCATGACATCATTAGTGATACTCGTCTTTCCAACCCCCCTTCCCCATTGACAAGATAGCTGCCCAGCCCCAGCCATCCTGTCCACCTTTCAGGCCAAAGAAATGAAGAGAGTGAGAAAGATGCTTCCCACTGAGCCTGTGAGCATCTCCTAAAGCTCTTCCCACCAACTTCTACTAATAGCCAGCACATAATCCAGTGAGCACTCCCACAAAACCCTACAAGGAGACAGGGTTCTGGCAGTCAATTTGAAATCTGCCGCAAAGCACAAAGTGAGGATTGGGACGGAAATGTTAATTCTGAGTAGAAAAGTCTGCACATATTTCCTAGGGGACCTAAGATTTTAGCCAGACCTTGAAGCAGAAAAGTCTGAGCAAAGGCAATAGTTCCGAAGAACCAAGAGGTTCAGGAGACAGCCAGGTGCCAGGGGTGCCAAGAATGTGGGAGCAGGGGGAAAGGCAAGGAAAATGAATCCTGAGCAGGTGCAAGGTCCATCTGTAAGCTAGCTCTATATGCCGGATCAAGGACTTCAGGCTTTATTCCCATGCAGTGGGAAGGGTTTGGAGCAGTCTGTTCTGAGGTAAAAGCAACCTTTCCTCCTGGGGTATGCACTGTTTCTCGGACTCATGGCCAGTCCCAGCACCCTTGCCTACAAGGATTTTGCTGGAAAGAACTGATCCCAAAGCTAAGTCACCCAACTTCTCTAGGCCAGAGCAGTGCAGAGAATTGTGCTCCATGGGGAGCACAGTGGAGTGTGGAGTACAAGTCCAGACTGCCTGGATTCAAATGCTTCTGCCATTTACCAGCTGTGGGACCCTGGGCGACTTATATAACCTCTCTGTGCCCCAATTACCCAATCCATAAATGGGAATGATAAGAATAGTCCCATAATAGGGCTGGTGGAAATAAAATTGAGATAACACATGTAAGACTCAAAGACCAGCGCTAAGTTCTTGGGAAGAATTTTGGGATTAGCAGAGGATCTGAGCACGCCCTTGGCTCAAGCACTGATGAGACCTGACCTCCCCTGTGTCTCTTCTGTGGAGCAGTATGAGGAGCAGTTTCTGCAAGAGGAAACCGTGTCTCAGCAGATCAACTCCATTGAGCTCCTGCGGACTCGGCCCCTGGTTCCGCCCACAGTGGTGAAGCCCCAGCGGCCCCTGCACAGGCAGGTCCAGCTAAGGGGCCGACCAGCCTCCAAGCCCACTGTCATTCGAGGTATCACCTACTACAAAGCCAAGGACCCTGAGGAAGAGAACGACATCGAAGAGCAGCGTGAGTTGGGGTCCACAGGACCGCCTGAGGGCCAGGGCAGGGAGGGAGCAATGGACTGAGACCACATCCCTCCTGCAGTCTGCTGACTGCCTGGGCCCCGAAGACCCAGCTGGGTCACCAAGAATCCCTGTGGTTCCTGACTTCTTGCTGCCTTGGGCAAATCACTCAACTTCTCTGGGCTTGCAGAACACCGCAGGGCTGCGTCACAGGGACTTCAGGGCCCTTAGTCCACTTATCCCATTTGCAATGAAGACACTGAGGTTTGGAGGGGAATGTCTCACTCGGAGCCATATGGTGGGCTTCTCTGGGCTGCCTCCCCTTCTCCAGGGGGAAATTTCAGCCCTCCTCCTCCTCACACACTCACAGCCCTGTTTATCTCATCCCTTCTTTCCCTAATCCTTCCTCTTTCTTCCTCTTTGCCCTGCTCCTCCCCCTTGTCCTGATCCTGGAGCGAGGTGGGGGTCCCCACTGTCCTGTCCAGCAGTGCCCACTCCCGACTGTCAGCCTCCAGGTCCAGTCACTGCTCTCTGTTTGCATGTGCCCTATCGCTGGCTTCACCCTTTTGCCTTTTCTTACGGACCTGTGGGGGTCTTATAAATACCCTGGGTCCAAGCCCACTGTCAGCCAAGGATCATAGTATGTGTGCCCTGCTGTGGCATGTGTCTTCAGCTTCTTAAAGTTGTTTTTGATGAGCTGATAAAATCCAGTGTAGCCATTATGTCCTCAGTGGTCAAACTTCTGTGTCCTTGCTGGGAAGCTTTGCCTACCCCTGCTCAAACCTGCAGTCTCTCCACCTCACTCAATGCACTGAAGTCAGAACACCAAGCCCCAGCCCCGGGAATAGGAATGGCCCCAGGTCTGGGCTCTCCTCTCTGCTACCCTCCCCCTCACTCCTGCTCGGTCTTCCAGGCGGTTTTGGAACAGGGCTTCTGTGCTGCTGTGGTTTCCTCGCACAGTCTTCCTCTGAGAGCTGCTTGGGCCACTCCCTTACTCCTCTCAGCCTCTGCTCGTGCTCCATCCCTCTGTGTCCCACCATGGACACTTATACATGGCTGGAGATTCCCTCCCCCCCAGTTCTCTGGACCTTCTTCACCCCATCTGATCTTTGCCCACAGCATCTTCGAGCGCTCTCCCAGCAGCCTTAGTGCTCTCCCAGTAGCCCTAGCGCTCTCCCAGCAGCCCTAGCGCTCTCCCAGCAGCCCTTCCGGGAGATGGGAGCTAGACGGGAGCTCCGTGAGCACGGGGCTCTTGGCTGTGCTCATGTTGTGCATGAGCCACATTATCTGCAGAATGAGGGGACTGGGCTACCGACTTCCTCCTCCTTGTGCCTGTGCGCCCAGGAGCTCCCCTGGGGCCTGAGAGGAGCTTCGCAGCGTCAGTTGGGAGGGCGCCTGGGACCCTGCCGCCGTGCTCCTATAACCCTCTTCTTGATCCAGTCGGACTCCATCTCTAACCCCGGGCATCATGTGAGAAAGGAAACCCTCTCACTAGCCTGCCAAATGCTGCCTGCGCTTGGGCATCCAAAGTCTGTTCCCTTTCCAGAGCCACAAATGACCCTTGTGTTTGTTCCCCAGAAGATGAGTCTTTCAGCGGTGACAATGGAGTGGATTTGCTGATTGAAGATCAGCTTCTGAGACACAATGACCTGCTGACCGGAGTCACCACGGGACCAGTCACCACCCTTCAAGGCTCTGCTGTGACAACCGACGCAGACATTCAGTCCACCGCAGACATTCAACCCACCGCTCAGTCTTCAGCTGCCCACGACCCTGACCCCACTCTCTCGACCTCAGTTGGGCAATTCTCAACATCCCCCCAGACCACCTCAGTGCTGCCAGAGCCTGAAGGGGAAGCAGTCCTCAGACCCACGCAAGGACCAGCCACCACTGTGGCCAGCACGGCCACCCAGACCCCCACTGCTGCAGCTTCTCCGTCAATGGCTCCTGAGTACGAATTTGTGGACACCACATACACAGTGCCTATGCCTCCCACCGTGGGTGGCACAGACTCACTGGAAAGCGATGTCACAACTGGGCAGCGCACAGCTCCCGCCAGCCCCACATTGAGCCCCGAAGAGGAAGACGACATCCGGAATGTCATAGGTGAGTTTGCTTTCCCAGGTAAGAGGCTGAACCTGGAAGTGGCTTGGAAGGGGGGGAGGAGCCCAACGGTGAGACTCCACAAAGAAAGGCAAGAGGAGGCACGCCTCTGGTCAATGATGAGGTTGACATCTGGGGTTCAGGGATTTAAGTGTGCCAGTGACGAGAGTGGAGCCTTATTTAAATCTATAGAAATCCATGCATCATGATCTCCCGCCTCTTTGTCAGTTTTATAAACGTTTGTCAAGTGCTAGTGTGGAGGCTACACTAGTAGGGTTTTGAGTTATTTGGTGATGACTAGACTTAAGTTTTCTGCAGTAATTTTACCAAATCATGCACTGACAAGGGAGTCTTACTGGGGGGGCGGGGGGGGGGGCGCGGCTCAGAGCTTGGAAGGCTGAGGGTAGGGAAACCACCTGTGCAGTGGTTACCAAGGCAGAATCTCTTGAGGACCCCCACTCCCCCTCCTGACCTTGGAGTGCATGGAGCCACTGTGGTAGTGTGTGGTGAATGCAATGATAGAGGAATAGAAAAATGGCAGAGGTCCACTAGCTTAACCTGATTGCTGCAAAAGCTGGGGAAGCTTTCCTAAGATTTCATTTGAGCTGGGTTTTGAAGGATGAATAGGAGTTTTCTAAGATGATATGGGGAGCTTTCTAACTACTAGGCCTGAACAAACAAAGTATGTTTCAACAGCAGAGAAGATGCAGCCCTGTCCTGCCCCCATGGTCACAAGATGATCCAGAGGACAGGGACTTGTGAGAGTGGGGGGATGACAGCTGGGGGAGGGAAATAGGAGCTAGCTAAAAATGTTTTCTCCAGATAAAGTCCCCACTGATAGTGACTGAAAATAGCACTATTTAATAACTTTATCAAAATACTTGTTGAAAAATAGACTTGATTGGACAGATCACATAGTTTGCCTATACCTAGCTTTCCCTTTTTCACATATTCTGCTCCCTTGGCATCCTCCTCAGAATAAGCTGCCAGCTACTGCCAGAGACAAGGCGGTGGAAGGAGGATCTACGAGGAGCCAAGCTCCTCAGTCATAGCTTGGTCTCTGCAGGTGGCAGCTGGATGACCGAGGCAATCCCTGCCCTTCTGTGCAGCTCTGTTGAAATTAAAAATTTGCTTCCTTCATCATATTCTACGACTTTCTGAAGTGAGTTTATTAGCACATGTCTTAGCAAAGAGTTCTTATTGGGTGAAAATTCCAGAATAATGGCAGAATAGAACAGAGAATTAGCCAAGACACGAGGAAAAATGGGCCCCAGGCCACAATCTCTTGAACTTCAGGAAGGAGCTAAGCAAGAAGGTAGTTCTGGGGGGGCAGAGGTGGGTTTGGTGGGAAAATGAGATAATTTTTTCTTTTCCTTCTACGGTGGGAGCAAGCTGACTGTGACACATATGGTCAGCTCTTCACTGGACAGGTAGCTAAATCCACAACTGCAGGTCTGGTTCATTCCTGCAGGATGCCCGAGTCTGAGCAGAGATTCTCACTACCATACACGACTCGCGAAGCCTCAGGCCTGCTCATGCCTCAGGTCCCACCTCCTGCTGCCAAGGGCATGAGGTCCCCAGGACCCTACTCCTTCACCAGTTCACCTTTCACCAAGGGGGATGGTTCCTCCAGGAGCTCAGGATCCTTTCCCCGCTGTTCCTTTGGCAGGTGGCTTGAGTGCTGATAAAGATGACAGGCCACAGGCAGTCACCCCCGACACCCCTCATGTGTCCTCAAGCGACAGTGTCTGCCAGCCTGGAGCCCCTTCCCTCCATGACTTCCTAGCAGGGCTGGAGTTCTCTGCTCTCCCCTCTCACCCCTCCGGCCTGGGTCCCAGCACCCTGACTCTCTCTGTCTGCCTCCCCTGGGATTTTCTAGTGTAACACCCCATGTTCATCTTTCTGGAGTTCCTAGCACTGTCACACCCTACCTGACTGACATGCTGATTCACAGACAGGAGAAACCCTGGGTCCTGACCTTCACTGCCTGCTGGTTTTCCTCTTGAGGCTCATTGGTCAGGTAGAAGCTATAAGGTCCTGCTCAAGCACCGGCCTCCAGGTGTCTTCAGACAAACTGGGGCTTTTGCCTCTTGCCTCTTGCACCTATTACAGGAAATACATAGAACAGGGACACAGATGTGGTCTTTCTTTCTTTCTCCTCACCAAGGGGTGAGGAGAGAGTGGTGAGGAGAGCGGGTACAGAGAAGGAAGGTTTGGCTGTCTAGGTGACTCCAAGTCTTGGCTAGTTCGCTTTTGCAAATTGTTTTGAATGGTCCATTTATCACTGTCAGGGGCCTCACTCAGGCGGCTGCTGCTGTTAGTACAAATGGGGTTTCCTTTCTGGAACCCTCTCTGGTGAAGTAAGACCATGATGTACTTCATGTCCTAGAGAGCAGTTAAATAAAAATCATTTGGCTGAAACCCACACCTGCCATTGATCTCCTGCCCATGAACCGTTGACAGTTTGGCTTTTGAGCTATTTGAGATGTGAACTGATGTGCTTTCAAAGGAGCATCCTATTCCAGGGCTTCCAACCTGACTTTATCCTAAAATGTCTACCCTGACCCACAGGGGAACTGTAAAAGTCCCAGGAACGCTCCCAAATCAAGTTAAGTTAGAATGTTAGTTATGGAACAAGCTTTCGGCCGAAGCACAGCCCTTGACATGCTGTGGGGAAGTACACCGCTCAGCCGTTGCAGAAGGCGGACACGTGCCACGGGGCCCAAGCTGGCCAGCTTCCGTGACTGCGGCTCTGCCTGCTGTTCTAGAGGGGACTGGCCTCGGGGGACAGGGGAGCAGACAAAGAAGACGCTCGGGAGCACAATACCACAGCGAGCCTGTCTCATGTGGCCATCAAGGAAACCTAGTGATCACAAGAATGTCACCCCACAAAGCTCGAGGTGCTGACTTCCACAGGGATGTCCCCACCAGCCACCCCAAGTCACTTGACGGGCAGCTCCTGGCCCCAACTGCACAGGCACAGTCTGCTTGAACGGCCTTCTGCCGCACCCAGCCAGCCCCTCAGACCACTGGGAGCTTCACAGCTTCACCATGGTGTAACTCCTGGGGCCCTACCTAGAAAGGAAGCAAGGGGGAGACAGCCCTTGGAAATGGTGAGAATACCCTGAACACCTCTCTCCAGGGTGGAGAGCCCCCTTGGGTTTATTCGGCCCTATGCCATGCTGACAGGGCATGAGTGGGTGTAGTCATTTGCACAGAAGGGTGACTATGGGCCCAGCACTTGAGCACCTGGTCCAGTAAAGGCTATGGTCAGTTCTGACCATGGAGCCTACTCCCCAGGGGAAGTACTACTTCCTCACTGGCTCCCAGGAAAGAGGGGACCCTCCAGACAGAGTGGCAGCAGAAGCCAGGAGCAAAGAAAGCCTACACCCGCTGGCACATCCTGGAGACAAAGGGCCAGGGTAAAATTCTAGGCAGAGGTTCCAGGGGCCTGGTGATGGAGGGAATGAGAAGCAGAGACTGAAGGCTCAGGGTGGCTGGGAGAGGAGGTCTAGGTGATAGAACACTTTTTGGATTTGTCAGTTAAGGGGCACATTGAGCACTGACAGTGCTCAGGAGCTGGGGTGCTAAGAATGCAGTGATGAGGCAGGTCCCAGCCTTGGGGCTGTGCAAGGGTTTGTGCAGGGGACACAGGGACACACTCTTAAGCCAGTGCGGGGACACACAGGGTGCCCGAGGACCCTCTTCTGGGAGGAGACGCTAGCCTAGCTATCTTGACGGATTAGGACAAATCAGCCAGGCCCGGAAGGAAGATGGAGGAGCAGGACAAGGGAGTCAGCCACATGGCCAGCACAGCTCCATCCCGTGGATCCAGAGCAGAGTGCAAATGGGACCCCAGGTCAAAGAGCAGGAAGAGCGCCCGTGAAATGGAATCTAAGCTTCTGCCTTCTGCGGCTCTCTCCTCTCTCTCATTGTGGTGTGTGTGTGTGTGTTTTTTTGTTTTTTTTTTTTTTGCCTGGCCATGCCACTGTGAATAAATAGTCAACATTTAATCCTTGGCATACATTCACTGTTCCTATTTATATTGTGCAATGTCAGTTTCAAGTGGAAATGTAAGTTTATTTAATTTGTATGTGCAATCCCCCAAAATGACACAATTTGTACTTCAAAGCTTCTACACACAAACATGATTTGGTCTTAGCAGAAGATTTGGAAACTGTGAAATGAATGCGTGGGTTTTGCTTCACCTCTTGAAATGTGCACGTGTTCATGTGTCCTGCCTCACCGAGGGAGGCAGGCAGGAGAGAACTATGAGCCACCCTGTCCTACCCTCATTTTTGGCAAAAGCAGGGGAGTATCTAAAGAGAAAAAATGATGCCTGGGATGCTTAGCTCCTTTCCAGTTCCAGGAAGGTTTTGGTTTAAGCGGAAAGTATGGCCTTGGGCAGTCAGACCAGATCTTCTTACTCAGTCTAGAGATGACCGTTTCCCTTGTGTTCATGGGCCCCCTACATGGTGGTCCATGGGCCCCCCCTGGAATCTGTGTTCATGGGCACAGCAGATGCTGTGTGCAAAGGGAGGTGAGGCTGGTGGACCCATGCCGGTGCATTCTCTGCTCAGGCGCACACTCCACAGCCCAGCTAGATGTCACATACTGGCACAAGTTCAAAGGTACCATGAAGGAGAACTTCAAGAAGGTGAGAACAGAGCATTAAACCAAGGACAAGCCCTGGTGGCCAAGGGCCTGTGTGATGGCACAGGCCCGTGAAGCCAGCCCTGGGCACACATCAGAGGACAGTTGGGTGGGCAAGAGAGTTGGCGGCTGAGGGATGAAGTCATCCCATCCCCTGTGTATGGTTCTGAACTTGAAGCCTCATGCCAGCTGCTTTTCTAGCTCATCAGGGTCTCTGGCACTCATTTTACTTCCTGCAGGCATCTGAGTTTGATAACTCTGACTGAAGGCAGATGGCAGAAGACAGACCAGCATTTCCAAAGGAGCTGATGGGCTGGGGTAGGGACTTGGAGTCCATGCAGTGGTTGTTAATGGTGGATTATTAAGGGTCTGAGCAGAGCTGCGTCTTGGAGAGCAGATCAAGACTAGTGGGTGGGGTTGGTTAGAGGTTTAGTGGTAAACCAGCAATGGATTTGGAGGTTTCCAGACAAGAGGTGGTAAGTTACGGATTGGATAGATGGAAGAGAGGAAGTTGTGGGAGATAAATGGGTGTGGCTCCACTGGGAGTATGGGAGGTAAAGGAGACAGCAGATTTGAACATGGTTTCTGGCTTGGTTAATGAGTAGTCGCGGTGCCTTTCTCTGGCTTGGAAAGTGCAGGAAAGTGCAGAGGAATAGGCTGTGAACAGAAAATATACTCCGCTTTAAACCCATGCAGCTTGAGGATCCGGGGCAAGTAGGAAAAACATGGCTTGAAGGAAGTGGGAGGACCACGCTCAAAAACTGGCTCTCCACAGAGAGACCTGGGTGAGCACTGAGTGTGTCCAGTGAATGGAGGAAGGATGAGCAGAGGCTGAAGGGTAAAATTTGAAAGCTGGGTAGAAAAAAAAGGAAACAGCCAAAAAGCCAGAGCCCAGGGAAATGAGTGTCACCAAGGAGAGATTGATGTGAAAGTCAGGAGAGGGAGGGAGCTGGCTCCTGGGGTGCTGGGAGGAGGGCTGGGGTGTCCACAGTTTCAGACCCTAAGACAGGCTTGGTGGAATCAAAGGTTGGGAGCACATCTCATAGGGCATTGCTGAGCCTTTAAGGCCACAGAGGGACTGAGGGTTGAGGAGTGTATGGAGTCCCCTCCAGCCTTCAGGGCATAGCTGAATATCCTATTGTGAGCTTGTTTTTTAAAAAACCTATTTTTGAATAGGTTTATATGCTGAGGAAAAGAACTCTTTTCAGTTCCTGAGAAACTTTGAAGCAAAACCAAGTACCCCTCAACACCACCCTCAAAGAGTCTGGTTAAATGATTAATACATACACCATTGTGTAGTAAGTCTTCATCTCAACAGTCTTGGGGAGACCAAAGTGAGTGGCAGACAGCACTTTTCTTTTACCCACAGCACCGCTGAACTGCTCCCTGCTTTCTCTCAGACATATAATGTCTTTTCTCCAAGACTGACAGTTTGCTGCCGAGGGGGAAACATCAGAATGTCCCCAGATTCTCAGACTATGGTGATGGGTCTGCATTAGGGCATCCCAGCTTTCTCCCTGAAACCTGCCTTTAAATGTTCTAAAAAAGAGAAAAAACACAGGTCTGTGTTTTCTGTGCACAGACTTGCCTGTGCCTGTCCTCTCTGCGTGCTCACCTAGAGTCTTGGGTTTCTAGGCTGCAAGCAGGGATCCCCACTTCCTGTGGAAAGGGGATCCCTGATTCCAAGAACGAATTCCATCTATGCATCCCATAATAAATAAGCATGCATGTTGTAACCTGAACAATAGGAACATCTCTGTCAGTTCTGGAAGCCAGTGTCCAGAGTAGTAAATGAGTATTGAATGGTTGAAATTTAGATATGTCTACAAGGGAAAATCTACTTCTTGACTTTTCAGGCTTCAGGCACAGCCAACATGCCTTGGCTCATGGCTGCATCTCTCTTATCTTTGCTTCCATCATCACGTGGCTTCATCTGCAGTCAGTTCCCTTTCCCCCTTTTGAGGATACTTGGATTGCACTTAAAATTTAGCCGGATAATCCAGGATACTCTTCCCATTCCATTTCAAGATCCTTGACTTAATCACATCTGCAAAGTTCCTTTTACCATGTAAGGTCATAGGTTCCAGCAATTAGGTATCTCAAGATCTAGGTATCTTGAGGGGCCAGAAGGGAGGGTGGTTACTCAGCCTACTGCACCATCATCAAGCACATTTGTGAAGTAGACATGGCATATATTATATTTAACTACAGAAGAAAGTAAAGCTCTCTGGTATTTTGGAGCAACATAGACTTTGAAGCCAGAGACATGACCTAGGTTGGGTCACTCAACACACATTCTACAGCTATAGCAAAGCCGTGGAGTGGAGACTGGATCAAATAAGGATTTTGGGGGTTGCCCGGAGCAACCTGGCACACCAAAACTCAGATGAGTCCTGCTTCCAGGAGCTCACTGGCCGTTTGCAGGTGGCATACAGCCATAGTGACCCACTAACAGAATTCCTTGCCTCCTGCTGGCATTTGTGATGTTCTGGGAGCTGGGCCAGGGTGCTTCTGCAGCAGGGAGTCAGTGACCTGGCTGGGCTTTGCCAGGGTCAGGGGGCACATAAAAACACCCCTCTCTGGGGATACTACACTGGGGTTCACCTCAGTCCGAGAGAGCATAGTGTCTCTGCTGGTAGCCAAGCTCCACTTAGTGCCAGGGAATGAGATATTTTCCATCAGCCCTCTGTTGCCGGACTCAGCCAGAGCTTTCTAGTTTATTGTCTTGAACAGATGAGTTCAATTGTAGGGGGAGGAGGACTTGGCTGGTAGGTTCTCTTGTTTGTCTTAGAGAGACTGATCCCTCCTAGCTCTGTCAGAACAGAACCTAATAAACCCCACACAGCGCTTGCTGCCTGAGCCTTGCCAACCGCACCCAGCACCGGGGCCTGCCTGGGAACAGTGTCCACCCCATTTCCAACGGCCAGGCTGCCTCAGGCCGGGGCCAAGGGCACAGTGCCGCCCTGTCCTGCCAGCTCTGGCTCCTTCCTCAGACCACTAATGGGGGAACAGATGGAACTGATTGGAACAATTTGAAAATGGGGATGGTCTGGAATTTAGTGAGCCCCCAAACACAACCCTTGGTTCTTTTGTCATAGGTGAACATCAGGGATCCATTGTTCCATCACTGTCACCCACCTGGGCAGCTGTCTTAATGGCAGGTTTCACTGGTCCCAGCTTCTAGGAGTGGGGACATTTGTGAGGCTAAATTCTTCTGCTGCTTCCACTAGCCTCCCATAGCCCACCAGTGCAGGACCGAGCAGCACACACATGCCTCCTGGTCACGTGTGTCAGGGCTGTGAATAATAATGACAGTGAGGAATAAGCATGTGGGGTTTCCACTTGGTCTGGAGGTTCTCGTGGTGTAAGGTCTCTCCTGGGCATGGGCACTCCAGGGAGTCATGCAGAAGGATACCGCTGAGCTCCTGTCCCGTCAAGGCAGACTTCAGCTTTGAAGGAGGCTCTTTATGCAAGAACTTGGTCCCCTGCCCCGTCAGTTCCCCAGGGGAGACCTGGGTGTCCTGCCCACAGTGGTGACAGGAATCCAGACTGGAAGGAGCTTGCTAGGACCCACAGTTGGCCTCGGGGTGAATCATCACTGCTCAGGCAGGGCTGCTCTCTGTGGTGACCTAGCCCCAAACTGCTTGGCCAGGCCCTGGGGCAGCTGAGCAGCTGATGGAGCTCGGTGCCTGGTCACACTATGTGCTGCTGCATAGTCATCCAAAAATCAGAACGTCTGCCTTGCCTACAGTGCACCAGATACTCTGGATCCCGAGGACACAGGAGGAGAAGCATAGTTGCCTCTCCCTCGGGCTGATGCTGTGGGCAGGGTGAGCATGGAGGGAGAGGGGTGCGCAGGCTTTGCAGGCATGGTAGATGACACCTCGTGTAAGAGACCCACTCATCGCGCTATGACAGCACACAGAATCCAGGAGGAGAGAAGCTGACTTTCCAGAGGAGGCTGAGCCTCAGGAAAGCCATGGGGTGGCCCAGGAAGCTTTGCAGCATAGAGGACAGGATGGATGACAGACACAGGAGCTGATGTGCAGAGATCACCTGGGGTCAGGTTAGGCAGGGCTGCTGAAGCCTGCCCAGGAGTTTGGGTCCCAGGTGGGGAGCTCGCCAGTGCTTGGAATCTGGACGGACATTCTACCTTCATCCCAACCCCTCCGCCGACCTCTTCTCCATCAGGAAGGTGCAAGGACACCCTTTCCACCATCACCGGGCCGACCACCCAGAATACGTACGGGCGGAACGAGGGGGCCTGGATGAAGGACCCACTGGCCAAGGATGAGCGGATTTATGTCACCAATTACTACTATGGCAACACACTGGTAGAGTTCCGGAACCTGGAGAACTTCAAACAAGGTATGTACTGTGGGCCCTCAGGAGGCTGCTTCCTCACCGCTCTCCTCTAATAAGGCCAAGGGTCTCTGAATGGCTGCAGAGGACGAGAAGGGCAGCAGCTGCTTCTGATGGTGAAAGGACCTTCCCGGAAATGAATGCTACCCACTCCTTTTCCTCCTCTGCTCTCTCAGATCTCGGGCCTGCCCGCTCTTGGCCCAGGGACCTGGGATGATCTGGAGTGCTGTGCAGAGGATAACAGGGGACTGACCTCGCTCTCTTTGCCATGACCCTTGACCTTTAAAGCCATGTCATGTGCGTGAGCACCCTGAATCCTTGGAGCATCTCCACAGGGAAGTGTGATTTCCATGTGGCATTAGGTGTGCTGAGGCTCAGACAGGTTAACGGACACCCAGACTCAGGGCTCCAGATCCCCAGTCTGGTTGTGCTCCCGTCCCGCCAGGCTGGCCCGTCCTGGCTGGCGTTGCCTGTTACCCTGAGCTGCCTCCTTCTCCTGGTGCAGGTCGCTGGAGCAATTCCTACAAGCTGCCCTACAGCTGGATCGGCACAGGCCACGTGGTATACAACGGCGCCTTCTACTACAACCGGGCCTTCACCCGCAACATCATCAAGTACGACCTCAAGCAGCGCTACGTGGCTGCCTGGGCCATGCTGCACGACGTGGCCTACGAAGAGGCCACACCCTGGCGGTGGCAGGGCTACTCAGATGTGGACTTCGCCGTGGACGAGAACGGCCTGTGGCTTATCTACCCCGCCCTGGATGACGAGGGCTTCAGCCAGGAGGTGATCGTCTTGAGCAAGCTCAATGCCGTGGACCTGAGCACGCAGAAGGAGACCACGTGGCGCACGGGGCTGCGGCGCCACCTCTTCGGGAACTGCTTCGTCATCTGCGGGGTGCTGTACGCGGTGGACAGCTCCAACCAGCGCAACGCCAACATCTCCTATGCCTTCGACACCCACACCAACACACAGATCGTCCCCAGGCTGCTGTTTGAAAATGAGTACTCCTACACCACCCAGGTGGACTACAACCCCAAGGACCGCCTGCTGTACGCCTGGGACAACGGCCACCAGGTCACCTACCACGTCATCTTTGCCTACTGACCCCCGCCCCTGCGAGCAGACGTGCAGGGGGCTGCTGGCACTGTGTGTGTGTGCGTGTGCGTGCGTGTGGGTGTGCAGATGGGCATGTGATGTTTTAAAAATATATATATTATTTTGTATGATATTGCAAATGCAAAATGACAGTTTGGGTCTATTTTTTTTTTTTTAAAGTGGATCGTAGATCGATCCATATGTGTATGTGCTGGTCTCATCCTCCACAGTTTATATATTTTTTGTGCAAATGAACTTCTCCTTTTGATCAAGAATCACCTTTTCTACCCTCAAGCCCTCCAGCTCTCCAGCACCAGGAGTTAGGAGTGAAAGAGGCAAGAAAGACCTGCTCAGGGTGGGTAAAAGATGTTATGTATTGGAGAAGTTTTAAAAATCCAGAAAAAAAATTTTAATAAAGAAGAAATTTAAATTCACCCTCAGATGCATTTTTGATATGGCTGGCAGGTTGGCTGCTTCCCCAGAAGAGAGCGGGTGTTTCCATAGAAACATCTGAGCTGAGTTGCTCCCTGGGAGCCCTGATCCCCTGGAGGTGAAGGGGCTTCCCTGGTGACCATGTGGAAGTAGCCATCCAGTACGAGTTTTATTTCTGCAGTGTTGATCCTTTCTCTTCCCTGTCACAGAAGCCTCTTCTCTCTGTTTTGCTTTTCTCTGGTCATTTTACCCAAGATGAGGGAATCTATTCATTCTTCGGTGTCCACCCACTCGTGGCCTGGTGGTAGACACTGCTGAAAGGAGCAGGCCGAGTGTGACCTGTCCCAACCCTTCCTTAAGTCATCTACCACCAATCAATCAACCTCTCGTCCCTTTCTCCCCGCCCCCCCCCCAATCTTCTCTTTGCCTTCCCCTCAGGAGCCCTGATCTGAAATGAGGTGCCCAAGTAAGCAGCCTGGGGCTGGGGGGAAGCCCTGCAGCACCCCGCCCCCTGCAACTGCTGCCCTATTCATGCCTGCCCTCCACATTTGCTGCTTTGCCTCCATGTGACACAAATTGGGGAACAGGAGATCAGATACAGCTTCACCAGGCAGGGTCTGCGGTGGAGAGCAGACAAGGCCCAGAGATGATCTGGGAAGACAAGCTTTCCATGTTACCCTGTGGTGCCCAGGAAATGGCACAGACTTGACACATTCCCCCCATCCCCCCTCACCCCCCCATAAAACACACACATCCCTAGTCAGTCCCTGTCCTGCTGCAACCCATTCCCTCCCATCCCCAGCTCCCTTGACTTTTATCATTTCAAGCAAGAAAGAGCCAAATCACTTATTATGTTGGGGATGAGCAGTCCCAGTTTCCTAAGCAGGTGCAAATACTGTCTGGTTTGGTGGCAGCAGAAAACCTACAGGGTGTATCCCAAGGTTCAAAAGGGTTTGAATAACATGCCCCCCAAAACCCTGGCCCTTGCTCAAGCCTTGGGTTGGAAACCATAGCAGATCTTAGGCTCAAGCTCCAAATAGGATTAATCAGAGGGAGTGAGAGAAGCCAGCAGAGTCACTGGCGCAGAACTTTTATCATATGGACATGTCTGGCTAGTTATCTGCCACCTACCTATCTCCATTCACCCGCCCACCCACCCACCCTTCCGTCCATCCATGTAAAATGATATATTTACAGTTGACAATTGACACACACTCCTGGACTAGATGTGTCCCACCCATCACCCACCCTCCTGGCATTGCTGCTTCACCCAAAGGCAATTGTTTGCCTTCTGCCACCTGGGCCTCGTTCCTGGACTGGATTTTTTGCTGCTACGCAAACTGATCATAGGCCCTTCCAGGCTGTCTCCTCTTCAGGTCTCCACATCAACTTCTAACAGCCAGCCTACCCTCTGCAGGGTCCCGATAAGCCCAGGGTTCTAGGGCAGGGTGGCCTACCAGGAACAAGCAATTTGGATCAGGAGGAAGCTGTCAGGCCCCAGCTGTGAGTCAAGGGCATTAATTCTGGGAGGCCCTGCTTGCTAGATGTGGGTGGAGGATTTAGGACAGGGGCCAGCTCCTGGGCTGGGACTGAGAAGCCCCCAGGCAGAGAAAAGCAGGACTGGGCAGCACCACTGCCCTAAGCTGCAAGGTGCTGCTGCCTTGACCCTCTATGGGCAGATATGTAGACCCAGGATAGGGCCAGGCAGCCGAGGAGCCGAGGAGGGGCTCAGTGACTCTGGATGTTCACATGGCCACTTTTGAGTGTTAATTTTCCTACTATGGCTCCCTTAAGCCTGGCGGGGGCGGGGGGGGGGGCTTGGGGGGGAAGGATTCTTTAGGGCGCCTCACTTCCTGATACTCAGAGAAGCTCAGGGGAGACCCAGAGCCCTGCAGAGCCACCCCTGGGGAAGCCTGCTGCAGCTTGTCTGAGTTAATTGCCCTGGGCCCAACTACCCACTTGGGCCAGGTGAGGAGGCTCCCAGGGTGGGCGGGAGGAAGCAGAGGAAGGGGTGGGCGGCCTGTAGGGAGTCTGGCTGCAGGCCTGAAGCTGGGTGGTAGGAAATAGTTCCCTGGATTCCAAAGGGCTTCTCCAGGCAGCTCTCTAGTCATGGGATTCAAAACAGGATTCGAGAACTATTTCCCAGACGGTTGAAAAAGAAGGGGCAACGGCCATATTGTTCCAGGCCTGAGGTAGGTAACCCCCTCCCCCCACCCCAGACTTCCCCTTCCTTTCCTCCCAGAACCTGTAAAACCCAGGGGATTGGCAGTGGGGGAGGGGGAGTATTTTCTACTCTCAGACTCTGAGTCTTTTCTAGGCTTTGTAAACCTCACCAACCCAGGGCGTTTTAATTACTTGATATGTTCAGGAAAAACAGACTTGCTTTGGCTTTCCTGTGAAAGTGTTCCCCAAAGGTATAGTTTTCAAAAGTAGAGGGAAAATAATAATTCAGTCATTCACTCTTTTCACATTCTCTTGTCTATGTTTATTCATTCAACAAACATTCCCCCTCTGGGAACCTGAGTGACCAAAGCAAAAATCCACCTTTACGGAGTTTCTGTTCTAGAGCAGAGCAGAGGAAGTGCGAGTCTATGTGAAGACAGGTGGCAATAACATCAAGCAGGGGAAGGGGAGAGGGAGGAGTTGCTTTGGTATAGGTAGATAGAGACAGGACATTGGGCAGAAGATAAGGAGGTGAGCATGCAGACCTGGGGAGGGTGTGACCAGAGGGGACAGGAACAGCCAAAGCTCTCTGGGGCCAACCTACCTAAAGCAGCCCTAATAGGACATCTGCAGCCCCCAGAACCCTTGAGTGTTGAGAACTTCATCTGTTGTCCCTGGTTAGGCCAGCACTCCTGAACGTAATGGGGGGTGGTGCAAAGCATTTCCTCATGCTTCTGCACAGTGGAGAGAGACTTCTGGTCTAGAAACCATCTCCAGGGCCTGTTTCTGGTCCTGGCAGCCCCACAGGGCATCCTTGTGACCTTGAATAAGTCACAACCTCTCTAAGCCTGCTGGACATCTGTGAAAAGAAGCAAGCTCTGCCCTTCAAGATGGCGGATTCATGGAAGATTCTACCAAAGGAACACAAGTAAAAGCAAGTGATAAAGCACCAGTCCAATTATCATTATCCCCAGCTGACACCTCAGGTCAACAGAGGGATCTCTCACTGGGTTCCTGGCCCCTGGGGTATAAGCATGAGGGCCTGTGTTCTAGTCTCTCCAGAGATAACTTCCCTTTCGCACAAGGCACTATGGGAGGAAGCAGGTGCTCTGCATAAATCCCAGCTGTGCCCCACTCTTGCTGTGTGAACCCAGACAAAACACTGAACCTCTCTCAGCCCTGGGTAATGGATCTTCGTACAGGACTTGTTTGGCTCTTAATGAAATAACATCAAAAGCACAAATATTTAGCACTCAGAAGTTTTTATTATTCTCTATGATTCTCAATCATAATGATCCTTATTTTCCCACCACCAAACTATACTATTTTTTCATCTGCTTTAAACAGTGTACAGAAATATTTTTCAAGACATCGTGACATTTTACCCACTTAATAATCATTTCTTCAAAGGACGTTTTTCGATAAACCTCAATGTCACAAGATAAGCAAAGTTCCCTTACATTCAATAACCCTACTTCTTTCCAAAGAAATTCTTTACAAACATCCTCTTCAAAAAAATACAACTCAACATTTTTCCCATGCAAATTGGGTGAAGAGTCTAAAATCTCAACCGGTCTCTTGCAGCCCACATCTTCACTGGATACTGAAGCCACCCCTGTCTTCCCCTCTCCTCCCAGACTGGGACAGTCTTCAAGGTCTGAACCAACAGAAGTCTTGTCCAGTTCCTCAGCCTGGCAGCAGTAGCCCTGAGTTCCACCCAAAATGCCATTTGAACTCCTCTGCATTTATCTGTGAACAAATTCTTCAGTGAGGTGCCCTTCCCTCGGGGGCAGGGGCTTGTCTCATTCATCTGGAACTCTCCATTCCACTAGCACATTAAGGATCTGCCAGATGAATAAGCAAGTGAATGGAGAATTCATGCAAGATTAAATCAGTGACTTCACACACAGGAGTCACAGAATATATGCAGGGCGTTATTCTGGAATAGAGTTCTTCTGAAGGCTGTCCTCTCCAGACTCAGGACAATGCTCAACAGTCCAGGTAGCCTGACTCTGCTTGAGCTGAGGCTTCAGGATATTAAGACTGTAGGAGAGGATCTGGGCAGGGTCACCAGTCTCCACCCAGTGGTCCTCCTTGAGCCCAGGGGGTGTCCACTCCTCCCATATTGTCAGGGCCTCTGTGAGGATAAGGAGCTGCCTTTCTAGTTGAAACCAAAAGACAACATTATGCCCAGTTTCTCAACCAGTGACACAGTCCACAGGGGATGTGACTACCCAGGATTCTGTCAAACCCTGGAACAACAGTCCACCTCTAGAGACTGGATCTGGGCAGGTGGGTAGTAGCCCGCAGCACCCCCAATGCAGAGCTCAGGGAGACCAGCCAGGCAGTGTGCCTGGGCCCTTCTCCCCACCAGCTTATTATTCTTCGTTTCTCAACCTACCCCTCACTCTGCTGAAATCACACATGAACACCAATAAAAGGTCCAGGATTGTGACTTTCCAGGAAGACCACTCGGGTTGAGTATTTGCTCTCAG